AAGAACAAATGCAGTTATTTTAAGAAAAAAATACTTATATAGATTTTGATTTTTTGCAGTGTATATATATGACAAGCAACAAGTAACACAATATTGCCTTTTGGAGTTTTACATTTGCTGTAAACAGGAGATGAGTGTTCAATTTCTAATACTGACAGATCTAGGGCAGTTCAGCTCTGCATAAAGGATTGCTTAATAAACGCTAATTAGTGAAATTCCAGCAAAAAGGCCAGAGTGGTTCATTTAAACCGGGCATACACTGTAAGATTTTTTTTGCCCTTTTCGGGCCGACTTTCCAGTCGTGCAAGAATTTTATCAATCGGACTGACTTTCAGCTTGATCATGCGTTGTACATGGTGTAGTGTACAGGGGGTAACAAGGAGCGATCAGCCTCTCATGACCACCTCCCCATCAGGAATCGTGAGGTCGGGAGAAAATCAAACATGTTTGAAATTCAGTCAGCCGTCGTGGGCAAATCGCTCAGTGCGCAAACAGGATTCTTCATCTTCCTCTAACGTGAAAAGACAGAAGCATGGCGGGGCTGCGGGTGAAATGGAGTTCTTTCTGTAAAACTGACAGACCGTAGTAGCCACGTTTGCTCAGCCATGTCTTTAAATACATCGTCGCCTTTTTCTTTTTAGGGCTTTCAGCACAAAATTGCACAAATTGCCAAGGCACAAATTTCTCTCAAGTGAGCTTCATATTCCTTTTCTACTCGATTGGCATCCTGATAGACGAGTAGCACCATCTCACTGTGGAGCTGAGTCCGACATGGTTTTTAGACGTACAGCTTGAGCAGGCATATCGCATCAGAGCGTCGGGCTGCACATTGCCAGAATATGCATTGTTAGCTTTAAACTTAAACTATACGAGGAAACCCTGCGGTTTCGTCGTATAGTGTGAGCCGAAGCTGCGTGCAATGATTGAAAAAAAAAAAGATTGAAAACATCTACATGTCTGTACATCTTCTTTTGGCATTTGACCAATTAAATGAGTCCCTGACGATATATTACCTACTATAAATTTATTTGGAAAAGAAGTTAACAAGTTAAGGAAAAAAGCTTAAAAGCTAATTGAAAAGTTAGAAAATAAAGTTAAAAAAATTATTGCGCTAATTTTAATTTTTTATTTATGCTCTAGGGTTATGTTGTAACAAAAACAAACGTTGTTTTTTTTCATTCTGTGACTGTTTTTCATGAGTTTCATATTGAAGCTTTCTTTATTTCTCCTAACATATTAGGGCAAGTGACCGTTTTTTGTTATTAGATTTACCTTAATTTTTGCCTGCAAAATATACATGTTTTTGGTTTTGCTTTGGTGGCGCAATGGTTAGGGCACACAACCTTAGTCCTCGACATGGCTGACCCGGGTTCGAATCCTACTTGTGTTCTTTTGCCGCAGGTCTCTCCCCTTCTCTTATACCCCCTTTCCTGTTAGCCTACTGTCCAAAAAACAAGCCACTGGTGTGGTTAAAAACTCAAAAAATAATAAAATATACATATTTTTTTAATTTCACAAAAGTAACAAGGTCCTGTCCTCCAATAACACAGTTGGCTTTAAATGTTAATTTTTAAAGTATTTAAATAAGTGCCCCATAAAGGTTAAATGCTTAAAGTGTTTCTGAGTAATTAATTGGAATTAACTTGTTAAAGTCCCAGCCCTAATGTTTAAAGGCCATTAGGAGCAGAGCAAATATTTCAAAAAGGAAAAAAAAAACATTTCAGGTAACTTGGTGTCTCTGTGTCAGGACGGCAGCTTAGCAGCATATGGGGCAGATGTGCTTCGCTGGTGGGTCGCTGAATCAAACGTCTTCTCTGAAGTCCAAATTGGTCCAAGCGTCCTTAACTCGGCCCGAGACAGCATCAGTAAGGTACCGACACAGAAGGATGGATCCTTTCCAAAGCTTTCCCTTGTTTTTGCCTCCTGGTCCTCATTTCTCTTCTTCCTGGTTTTCTCTTCCAGTTGAGAAACACTCTCAGGTTTCTGCTGGGAAACCTGCAGGGCTTCGACCCACGTCAGCATGCTGTGGACCCCAAAGAGATGTACTATATTGATCAGTACATGCTGCATATGCTCAGGGAATACAGCATGAAGGTATGTTAAAGCTGGACTTGGATCGATGGTTCTTCTTTTTCCTGAAGCTCTTAAGAATGATGCTTTTGGTTCAGGTTACAGACGCCTACAGTGAGTTTGATGCTGGCAGAGTCATCCGTATCCTTCAGGCCTTCATCACCAGAGAACTGTCCAGCTTTTATTTCAGCATCATAAAGGACAGGTAAAGGATTTCCTCGGCTTTCTAGGTGCATATTTCCAGCAGGCTTTGTCCATGCATTGCTTCCTGACTCCTCCTTCATTCAGGCTGTACTGCAGTCCAGAGGACTCGTTGGGCAGGAGATCATGTCAGACCGCTTTGGAGGAAATTCTGGATGGAGTGACTCGATCTGTTGCTCCCATCCTGCCACATTTAGCAGAGGAGGTCTATCTGCATGCCCCAGGACATGATGGTACGTTTGGATTAGTTATGAAATCACCTGAATATTAGCAGTTTGTTTGCTTCTTAACAAGAAATGATCTTGATTTTTGCAACAGAAGCAGATACGTTATTCAAAAGCGGGTGGATCAAAAGCAGCTCGGTGTGGAGGCGGCCAGGGTTGGAGGAGGCAGTGGAAGGAGCCTGTGCCATTCGTGACTCCTTCTTGTCTTCAATTCCTGGTAAAAATGCTGGCCAGTATGATCTGACGATCGCCATTGAAGCAGGACTTCTATTTGAGCTCATGGAGGTAAGAATATAAAGATTTAAAGAGTATAAAAGATTAAAAAAAGATTAAATCTGTTGGTTTTAAAACATAAATGCCAAACCTCACTTTAGAGGAACATTTTTCAGGACTCACTGCCTTAAGATTGGTAAAAAAATGGGGCAATTTTGGTAAATAAAAATAATAAAATAAATTCATTACTTATCAAAACAAAATTTTCTTAAAATCCATCCAGGGAGTCTTCAGAGGCTCAGATAAAGGCTGGAAAAAAGACTTTTGTCTCGATGATGCAGACATCAACAGAGCAGCTGCTTTGCTTAGCTCTCAGCTTAGCGTTTGTCTTTTTGGATGCTTTGTGTCGGTAAGCACAAATACGGGGCCAGTTGGAGTGCAGGCTCAGGTGTTGTTCAGTGTTAATGAGCAAGGCAGGTCTGGGACAGGTTTTTTTTCCCCCCATTGGAATAATTATTTTAATAAAACTTCAAAATCAAAATTATGAATAGGTATGGAATTGTTGTTATTCAATACCTCTATTCAAAAATTGCCTCTTTTAATCTCCATTGTTTTAAAAAATATATTTACTTTGTTCACAATTTGTAGCAAGTAATCTCCCCCCTTTTATTAACCAGAGTGCGAAATACGGGGGGTCCGGGGGGGCTTGAACCCCCCCCCCCTTAATGGTCACTAAAATATTTTTATGCTCAACATGTCTAGTATTTAAAATTAAAAAAATTTATTTACAAATATGTTCTGGTTTTTTCCCAAGTATAGCCAGCCAATCCTGTGTGCGTATGCAAATTAGCCATGTGCACGCTAAACAGAAGAAAGACGTAACGGAGCAGAAGAAGTTAGTTTTCCCAGCATGCACTGGGCAGCATGTTCAGTATTAAAACATGTAACTTAACCTGGAAAAGATTGACATTTACTGGCAGCTTCTATTTGTTACTGTTCTTATGTCTGTTATATCATCAGAGTTTGTTATAATCTGAAGTACTTGTTGTTTCACTATGAGTCTGGAAGGTATGTCCGTTAATAAAAATTTAGATCGGTATTGCCCAACAATCGGGAGATGGGGACCCCCCCAAATATTGACAGGTATTTCGCACACTGCTTGTAACCATAAATTTAGATGTTAAAAAATTGTAGATAAATTTGTGTTTCCAGAAAAAGTGAATTCTTCAACTCAAAGATCAGTAAATCAGAAAATCAATCCATCTGATCTGCCAACAGCTGCTACTAATCAGCCACATTCAAACTGCTAACAAGGATTTTCTCTCAGTCTCTCCAAGAAGAGCCCAGCTCCACCAGCTCCCAGCTGGCTGAGCTGATGATGGCGGCACGAGTAAACCTGACCAGCGAGCTTCCCCGTGACCTCCCTCCAGGCGCCCTGTTGAGTCAGGGTACCTTCCTCATCAATCTAGAAGGTGAGATTTCTTGAATTGGACCTGTTCATCATCCAGAAGCTAAACTTTGTTGTAATCCTTTAAAGTATTCAGTAGTTTTTAAGCCTATTTAAAGAACAATAAATCTTTTTTTAAGGTGACTTACTTCCTTGCATCAATCAAGCCAAACATAAAAACAGAAATAAGACCTTTTTTCGTTGTCAAATTTGCATTTTAGGGGGTGTAATCCGTGAGGAAAGTCCCTACAGCATCGCCGTGACGCCCACTTCTGCCGCTCGCTGTCCACGCTGCCGGCGCTACACCTCGGAGTCCACGGACTGTCTTTGCCCGCGCTGCCAGAATGTGGTTTCACATGCCGGCTGACGTGTTACCAGGACAACCAACACACTTCGTTATCCAGAAGTGTCTTTACGCTCCCAGTGGAAAATGTAAAAGTGTGTCACTCCAGCTGTTTTGTAAGGAAAGCGCTCAAAACCAGTAAAAGGTTTATATTAATACACAATCACTGCAGATGTAAAATAATATAAAGTCTCAAGTTGTTGCTCTTCTGCTTTCCCACATTTCCTCATTGAACTCAAAACAGAAGTGCTGAACTCTACTGTAAATACTTGGGAGGTTAAAAAGGATTTGATTTGACTGTTGAAGGGAAGCTCTTGTTTAAATGTGTCACTATGTGGCTTTAGTGTGAAGAGAAGAAGGTATGGGCGACTTCCTGTACAAATCTACAATTGTATAATAAAATTAGTTGCTTTGAGAGAAACTGCAAATGTTTGAAAGTCTGTTTATGTTCTGTGAATAAGATCAAGTCAAACAATTAGTGAGAAATGTCTTTAATCTGAATCAGAGCCCTGCAGGACATCAAATTACAGATGCAGTTAATACAGATTTGTCTGCTCATAAATAAAAATAACATCCATCTCTTCATTTATGATAAACGTTTTCTGTGCAAAAGCTGAAATGGTTAGTATAACATCGAAGGTCCCACAGGACAGCTGATTTTAGTGATGATAAAATAAACATGCCCCTTACCGCAACAAATCATCCTGAAAACACAAAAAATACTGAATACCTTTTATATTACATGCAACAAAACGAAAAAAACATGATGGGCTAATAAAACAAAGTTAAAAGCCACTTTTTTAAACACTGAACAATAAATGCCGTGATTTGACTGATGAAACCTAAATGGGCAGGATTTTCTAATGCGCAGCTGATGGGTTTTATAGTGCAGTCAGCAAAGATCAACCTTCAGCAGATAGAGTGAGGACGTCCACAGCTTCCAGGAGGTGCAGGGCCAGGCTGTACTGAGCGTGGTTTTCTGGCAGCATTTCTATCAGACGGCTAACGAGTCGGCTGGTCTTGGACAGAGAGACCAGGGGGCATCTCAGCTCACTGGGATCCTGCAAGCAGACGAGATGCAGTGACTGATTCAGATTAAACTTCTCATCTATCAAACATGCCTTCAAAGAGCCGAAATAATCCAGCAGTACTGCATCATTTTAACCAAGTTTATTAAAGACATATTTTCTAATCTGGGAGAAATCTGCTGTGAAGATTTTGATTGGCTTCAGGTTTTTTTTTTTTTTATAAACGTGTTGAGGAAACAGATTAGTCATATACATCAAGAAAATACAACATTTTCCTCATTACATTTTCTTGATTTTTCTCCCATGTGCCTACAATGTACAAAAGTCAAACAAAATCTACAGGCCGCTACATATAACGCATGTAATGACGAAACTAAAAAATAAACTTGCAAAAGCACACCAATGCACACAGAGGGAGGGGGGATTATTCTGAAGGCAAGGTTTGAAGTGATTTACAACATTCCCTAAAGAATTTTTCTTTGTCTAATTTCATTGACAAATGTAAAATTTTTTAGTAACTATTTTGACTTTTGATTTTTCTACGGTCTTGTTTTTAACCTCATCAGTTTTGCTGGGATTTAACCTGAATTTAAATCTGTATCGATTTCATCTGAGCTTTAATTTCTTATAAGTAGAAGAAATCCGGAATACAATAATGATTAGAGCTCCTAATCTTAAATTCCTCCAAAACCATGTTAGATCTCATAGCATAGCTTAGCTCATAGAGTGGCTCTTACCATTGCCTTTAACCATGTGCAGAGGGTTGGAGGCAGGCGAGCCAGCAGCTCCATGGCAGCCTGCGTCTGGTTTTGGCTGTGAAGCAGGGAGTAGCTTAATCTCTGGCCGGTCAGCACCAGGAGCTGGGAGCCCAGAACTTCCTTATCTTCAACCTGCAGCATGGCCTAGAAGGCAACAAGGAAGACATCAGTAGGTCTAAGCAAGACCCCAAGCTAAATCCTTGAGTTTCAGGTTTTCTTTTGGCAGGAAAATGAATAAGATGTGTGTTTATAAGGCAGAAAATGAGCTTTTACTGCACTGATCTAAAATGGTTCTTAGTGTAAAAACAATAAAGTGTTGGTGAATGTTTTAAAAGTGGCCTGATTAATATTAAAGGATACTCTTTACCTGTGCAGCTTAAGAAAAAAAATAATAAAATGTCATCCTTTTATATTAATTCTAGTAGTTTAGACTCTATGCTTTTTTTCTTTGAGGAAAAGCTCATCAGCTTTTTATATGTTTATATGGCTAAAGTTAAATTCAATCCAGGTTGGATCCAACACTGCTTCTAATCCCAAACTTCAGAGAAAATGGATAAAAATAACAAAGATTGCTTCACACAGTCATTTCAATAAGCTGTGCATATTTGACTGAAATGCAGCCCAAACCATGACACTTCCATCACTTTGCTTTACAGATAAATGGCCACACCACTTATAAATATTAAAAATTATTTAGATTAATTATTTGAAAAAAAGCTTTTTAATTTCACTTCTTTTGTAATTTAGCTGACTTGAAAGTCTTGCATTTATACTAATATCTAGACTTTTATCAGTTCTGCATGCCATAACAGCAGGTCGGTTTACCTCTTCGGCTCGGAGGTCGAGGCCTTGGTTGTAGAGCTCACAGACAAGGTGTCGACGAAGGATATCTGGATTGACTTGCAGCAGGGAGCCGAGATCAATGCACAGGGAGGGCCACCAGTCTGCTTTTGGTCCATCAGAGGGCAGAGGTGTGGAGGCAGGCGAGGACGTCGAGCAGAAAGTGTCGTCTATGGCCTGCACCCATCCAGTTAGCACCCGGAGGAGGAACTGAAACAGAACAGTGGGAAAATAAGACCGTTTCCTCCAAACCATCCCTCTACACTTCATCCAATAACTCACCTCTTGCCGTAATGAGACCAAGCCAGGGTCCATGTCTCCGCTGGGCATCAGCTGGATGGTGGTCAGATCCCTGAAGAAAGCATTCTTACCCTAAAACAGAAACAAAACCTCAGACACAATAATCTAGATGTTGAACAACATGTTGTGTTCCTGAATGCGCCAACCTTGCTGTCAAACAGACTGAGCGGCTTGACTTTAACCGTGAAGCTCATGGCAGCGTGTAGAATCGAAGCCAGCAGCCAGTGGTGCTGGACCAGAGGGTAGTGAACGCCTCTCTGCTCCAGGGCCAGCTGGGCGATGGACGCAGGGCCCTCAGCTCCACTCCACACCTCCTCCACAGACAGCTCAGGAGCACGAACCTCCTCCATGGCGGAGTCCGCCTGCAAGTAACCACCTGTTTTAGTGATGACAGCGGCTTCATTAAGCCTTATAACACGTATGGCAGAGCATCATGCCTTAAAACCCACGCATACAGTGTTAATTTATAGTCTTATGCCAAGCGCTGTTCATTCTCCATGCTTTGCTTCTGCTCTTTTTATTTACTTACATAGAAGGCCATAAAAGACAAAGAGCTCTGATTCCTAACCAATATTCCAGTCACCTCCATGAGGATCTGCAGCAGCTGGACGCAGCAGCCCAGGAAAGACGTCATGGCTTTATCTCCGATCCCCACATCCTAACAGAAGCACAAATCATCAGTCTGTGCCCATAATGCCTCACGCTGTGTGGTTTCATCCTGAAACTCTGAGACAAACCTACCCGTCGACATAAGCGATCTTTGGGTGCTTTCCCCACCTTGGAAAATTGAAGCATATTAATTTATCACAGATTAAGATACAATGCAGATAAAGGTGAAAACGACCTGTATGTTTGGGTTTACCTTCTCCATGAGGAAAGCAGCTGCTGAGAAACGCTTGACGACGAAAGTGCTCCACATCATTGAGGAAATACCTGCACAATACCAACGGAAGTTCATAAATATAAAACAAAAACATCAGATAACCTGTGTGAGAACTTCCTTTGTATTATGAAAAAGCAAAACACTGACCTAGCTGAATGTGAGGACTGGAGATAAGCTTTAAATGTTCCACAGCACTGAAGAAATATCGGGCCTCCTATATGCCGAAAAACAAATAAATGTAGTTTAATCTTCTATATCTACAACAGGTTAGAAGCTGTCTGCTGCTTTTTTCTTCACTCTAGAGACAAACAAGACGTTAATAAGAGAAAAGAGTTTTTTTTTTTCATTTCAAAACCTTATTTATTAAACCATGAAAATTAAATTAGAGACTGTTGTTTAATAACGCTGCGAAGTAAGCCAATGACCAACTGAAGATGCTTTAAACGTCGAGCATGTACCGGTAGTCATTTTCATTAGTTTTGAAATCATTCTTACAGTAGCTCTATACCCTCAGCTTCTGATATAAACAACTACTCTGTTCTGAATCCTCTTTTTATGTTTATATCTTATTTCATTCTAGTACTTAGAGAAAGATATAAAAGTTTTTTTTTATCAGCAGATTAATGTGTTACAAACAAAAGATTTAAAAAAAACACGCAGAATTTCTCATCTGTGTGGTTCTAAAATCTTATATGTATAAATTATTCAGAGTTGTTTAAGAGAGACTTCAATTTATTGCCATAATACATAAACATCAGATCAAATATTGATAAACACAAGTCTAATCTGTTCTAAAAAAGAAGCATTTTTGCCTGAAACAGAACCCTGAGGGGCCCACCTAAAGGTAAAAACCTTTCAATCCCCACTAACTCCTGTATGTAGTAATAAAGTGCTTTAATCAGACGCATCAGTACCAGAGGTAAGGAAACAGAAAACAAGAACTGGGAACCTTTAAGCTTGATGGGCGCTTTGGTTTAGGTCATCCTTCTTTTTACTGATTTTCAAATCTACAAGAAACATCTAGAGCAGTGATTCCCAACAGGTAGTACTCGTACCCCTAGTGGTCCGTAAGTGCATTGCAAGGAGTACATGAACATATTTTATGTCTCAGGTAATAAAATACAATAGGGCTGGGATCTGTTCTACTTTGTGAGGACCCAAAATAAAACAAGCTTTTTTTTCAAACCAAAAATATGTTTGTCTTCCATGTTTAAATTCACCTCCAGCTTTGACACAAGCAGAAGAACAGACTGGATGTGGAAAAACAGCTGTTTTCCACATCAGAGCTCATCAAAGCAGCTCAGGTGTCATGAATGGTGAAAACCAAGTAAAACAAATGGAGTCTGCCATTCATTTTGGTTTGGTATTTTTTCCTCAATTCCTTCAGTTTTTATGTGATTACTGGGGAGTTACTCAGAGGAGCACCAGTTTTATAAAGTCCTTACTAACTTCTGGGCAAAATTCAGTTTTTTTATTTGAGTTTGAAAGAATAAAGTTGCTAAATAATGAAATAATTAAGTTAATAAGATTAAATTAAATACTTTTTATTTTATAATCAGTTATTGTACATTCCACTTTTGGGGAGTCATCACTAGTTTAACTCATGGTAAGATAAAATACCCAAAGGGGTACACAGGTCAAAAAAAGTTGAGAACCACGGATCTGAAGGATTATCAAATGTGTTTAAATGGAGGATCATGCATAAAGGCCCAAAAGGGGATCACAAACACACAACTACATTTTCTATATAGCAACCATCGTCGATGAAATCAGGTCATTCAAAGCACAGGACAGAGATCCTATTCAAACATGTTTTATTCAGACATAACTAATGTGGGGAAACGACCCTAAAGTCCAGTTTTTTGTTCTGTCTGAGTGGATTTAGTAAGACGACTTTAGTAATTGATAAGTTGATCCCATAGAGAGGTTTTTCATTTTTTTTAAATCTCTTTATAATGCTGTATATTTCAGACATACGGCTGCGATTCATTTCACTTCCACAGTGAAATCTGAACTGTTAGAGAGCATTTGTGTACCTCTGGGTCTTTATTCCACTGCACTACATACTCCCAGCTGCAGTGGGCGAAGAGAAGGTCTGGAGACAAAGAATCTGGGAACCTTTGACAAACTGCCAACAACAGCTCTAAGAGAAAGAAAAGACAACAAAGAAAGCGGTCAGAAAGTGATGATCTCTATTGATAGCAGCTAAAACTGATTAAGGTCTCTTTGTTGTCACCTGCTGTCCTGTCTGCCTCCTCATGGCTCCTCTTCTCTTCAGCTCCTCCTCCATCCCCTTTCTGCTTCTTTTCGTCTTCAGTTTCTTTACTCAGCAGAATTTCCTTCAGTCGCTCTGGCGTGATGTTCTGCCTGAACACCCACTTAGAAACACTGTCTGCAATACCACCTATCCAGATAAGAGAAAGAGAGAAACCCACAATATGATATAAAAAAAGGGGAAATGCAGAATTTAGAAATACAAGCTGCTAAACACACAGATATATTATTTTTATCTGGTCTGGGAATTTAAGGATGTAGCACTAAGCGAAAACAAAACAAAAAAAAATCTCCCTAGAAAAAGCCTAAATCACCAGCATTATGTCTGACCTGTGCCTCCCTCCAGCAGCGTTTTGATTGAACACTGAACTACAGCGCCGCCTGCTGTTCCTTGAGGAGAAGGCACCAACAGAAGAGCTTGCAGGACCAGCACGTCCTCCAGCTGACGGACGCACACCACCCACTGCTCCAGCTCCATCGACACCGCCTCCCACTCTGACTGCAGCTGGAACACAGCAGAGAAACGCAGAGTTGGTATTTCAGCGCTCGTTACCTGACTGATAGCTTCCACGTTAGCGGGGAGACGCTCTACCTTGCTGTCAGCCCTGCTTGTGATGCTCGCCTTGGCAGCACAGTGAGCCACTAAGGCAGCCAGTAAAGCAGCAGCAGCATTGTGAGACTGGATGCATGTTAATCGGACCTGCTGCCACCAGGGGGAGACAGACTGTGGATCCCAAGACTCCTCAACAGCCCCTAAAAAAAGAGGAAAGGAATATTTGGCTTAACAAGTTTTGTTAAGCTAACTCCAATGACTCACTGTTAAGGATACACACCTTCCATGTTGCTCAGGGCAATGAGCAGCGTGTAAAGCTGTTTGACTGTATCTACAGGCTTCTGTAGCACCTCCTTCTCCCTTTGCAGCCATACGCTCATTAACAAAGACTATGGGTGTAAAAAAAAAACATAAAAAAAAAACAACAGGCATCTTAATAATAAACCCTTTAAAAGTTAAAGGAAGTAAAAGTCAAACATCGACCACAGCCGGACACAATCGTACCAGTAGCTGCTGTGGGCTGAAGCCGGCCAGCTGTAGTGTGTCACAGACTTTATGGGTGGGACTTTTACCACATAAGCAGCCCCAAAACAGAAAATTTCCTGTGAAGAACACACAACGACAAAGGGAAGGATTAAAGACGGGACTTGGTAGATCCAGCAAACTTAAAAACACTGTCTGTATAAAAACAGGACTAAACACTGAACTTAACCAGAGCATAAAACTTTCAGTCTCACTAGTTATTGTTGTCATCAGTCCAAAGAAAATAAACACATGTTGAAATAAAAAAAACAGTATATGCTGCAGTGATACGAATATATATATATATATATATATATATATATATATATATATATATATAAATATAATAATATATTAAAAAAAAACTATTCCCAATTTTCTGAACAGATCCCAGTTCTTAAATACATTTAACATAATTTAAAACAGGATCTGTCATATTTTAAATGGGGACATTTCAAGTTATCAGTCCCTCAGATAAAAAAAAGAAGAAGAAAAGAGTAAAATTTTTACACTTCAGGCCAATTTATGCTTCTGACGAATAACCTCTGCAACCGTCAAATCTGTGTCTGTGCACGACCACGCCCCCCGCGCAGAGGTTCTGCAACATTATTGCGCACCAAAAAAAAATCCTGACTCCGCGTCAGACGGTCGCGAACCCGCGCAGACCTCAAACGGAAGTGCGCAGACAAAAAGCAGCTGTGATTGGTCCTTGGTATGCCTTTCCGGCTGTCTGTGTGGTCGTCCTTCTAGATTCACCATTTTTAAAAACACAGGAACAAGTAGAATGGACAACTACGACGAAAGGTTAATCTGTCTTTTTGCCAACTCCATTAACAGAACCTGTTCCTCTTCGATGTCTAGCGACTCTAGATCAATCTCCGTGAAATCTTGCAGACGCGCCATTGTTGTTTTGGAAGATAAACACTCCCGCCGCCGCTGCCGAAGTTCTTATTACCATCCGCCGAAGTTCTCGCGAGTTCTTGAATAAGCTCCCCCTTGCGCTTTGGTGGGAAACTGCTGTGCGTCCCTAGAAATTCCAGACCGACGGTGCAGAAGCATATCAGCAAAACTGGTCCGCAACCAGATCAAAGCGATATTTGATGTGTGCGGTTGCAGAAGTATAATCTCCCCTTTAAAATAATGGATGGATAAAGCAATAGTAATATACACCCGGTTAGAAACTCGATAGTAAACAAGAATGTTTTTATGTGTTCAGTTCACTCAGAAGGAAAATAAATTTAAAATCAAAGATCCTGACATTATTGATGCAGCCTTTCATGATCTGGTGTGTGTTGATTAGTGATTTATACTCATACCTAACTGGTTCCATTCCGCGTCAGACCCACGATTCACCTTCACCCGTCCATCCTCGGTGACCTCCAGCTGAGTGAGGAAAGCCTGAGCGGACAGCGGCGTGTCAGGAGAGTCCTGCGCGAAAGAAACCGAGGGTTTGGAGCTGAGCTGTGCGTAGCGTTGCAAGGTGGGCTCAACACGCGACAACTCCTCCTCTAAGCCTTCGAGGGAATCCTGTTAAGTGGGAAGCGACAGAAGTCAGTGGACAGGATCACGTGTTTCCGGGATAAATAAAAACAATATTTTTTTCACAGACATTTTGAGAGCAGGCATCAGTGTTTGCTGCAGACTGCAGCTGCTGGATGTCCGTATAAAGCTGAAGCAGTTTTAAATGAGAGGAGCAGAGCTGGAGTAACGATGTCTCCACTTCATCTGCATCTGTGGCGAAGAAACACAAGCTTGGTTTTATTTCAAATAATTCACTTCAAACTGTACAATTTATTGACTGAATATTTCCTTTATACAGAAACCTGCTACCTTGCTGTTTCAAAGCATCATGTAAGGCACTGGTAACATTAGTAAGACAGGAAACTGGAGCATTCTTGTTTGACAGCAGAGACTCCAAAGCCTAAAGGAAATCCAGAGTCAAGATAAAACGTCCATAAAGTGAAATTCATACAACTTTGATTTTATTTTCAAACCTGCTTCTTAATAGCCGGGTGTTTAATTTCTAACAAAGCGCTTTTTGCTTCTCTCTCCAAAGCATCTGCAAAGCAAGGAAACATTGACAGCTTTAGAAACTAGTCGGACTAAAAAAATTTTAAAAATTCTTAAATTAAGTGTATTTAATCTTAATTTCAGCAGGTAAATAAGATGATTTTCCAATTAATCAATGAATATTTTTACTCTTAAAATAAATAATTTGCACTTAAAATAAGACAATGCAGTACTTTTTTTCTTGTTTTAAGTGTAAATTGTCTTACTCCATTGGCAAAGTCGCTCACTTACCTCTTCAACTCAAGAAAAAAATGCACTTATTTTAAGAAAAAATTACTTTTTTGCACTGCTCAGCTATCAGTTAGGTGTACATTACCAGGATCCACGTCTCTGCTCTTCAACACGGCGCTCAGTCTCTTTAGCAGGTGCATGTCTTTAGCCCGCTCATTCTTTTTGTCACTGAGATTTAGAGGTGAAAGCGACAGAGGGTTTTTAGTATCATTTATATCATTTTATTCCCCAAAAACAGATACGTTATCATAGAGTATTTGATGAAAAAGACGAGATGAACGATTGCTTTGTTCCAACCTGAGGGCCAGATGGAAGGGGATGCTGATGGTCCTCAGAGCTCCTGTAGTGGGATCCAGGAGACACACCTGCTGCGTGTGCAGCTGCCAGCCCTGACTGGTCACACTGTTCACCCCCATCAGATGGTAGCCCGCATAAAGGAGTCTAAAAAAAATTGCACTGTCTGTATTTGCCGACTGAAACATGAAGCAAAGTTGCAGCTTTGTGTTTGTATGTTGGATTAGATGAGGTTTGAGTAAAGGTGTACCTGCAATATTTGCCTACAGTGAACGCACCGACACGAGGGCCCCTCTGCATGGCCCACACCTCCAGGATCCCCCTACGGGGGGCGTAGATGATGAGGAACAGAGCGTGACGTCTGGGGAGTGAAGCGGAGGGGGAGAACTCCCGATCCCCACGCTCCTCCTGAACCTGCAGCCAGCCCAGCTGGGCGTCTCTGTACCCTGAAGTTCATACAGTTTGAGAGGAACATTTGGTGAGATAACGTCACTCCAAGTGGGAATGAAGAACATGGTGGTTTTTTTTCTCCCTTCACCTTTCCACATGCGGATGGTGACGCCCCTTGCCAGGTCCAGCAGCGCCACTCGACCAAAGTCATCAGTGACTCCAGCGAGCGTGTTGCAAGGCGACAGACAGATCGATTCGCCGTGGCGGCGGGAATCCGGCAGACCGAATCTAGAAGTAGAGGGGGTTGGGTTAAAGCATAAAGAAGAGGCTTTCTGATATGACTCAGCAGGAAATTTCTCCCGTCTGCATCCGGAAATCCTGGTCAGACCAACCTGATCCCTAAGGGGGTGGCAGGCTCCACTTTAGGTTTCTGTTTCTGAGCGGCTTCCTCTTCACTCTTGTTCTTGTTCCAACCCAACCAGCCACTGAGATTCAGAAGCAGGAGGGAAGAAAACAATAAAACAAAACTGAGCTTTAAACCATTAAGAAAAGTAATACAGTTTAAGGCTGAAGCAATTAATCGGCTTAATCGTGATTGGTCGATTATTGAAATAATCGATTAACCATCAACTGGATTATAGAGACTGTAAACCATGCCTTTAGCTGACAAAGCGACCCACTTAGGGCAGTTATTATATCAAAATGTAAGAAAATATGTAAATATTTTGCATTTAAGATTTAAAAAAAAACTTTTTTGTCCGTCAATATGCTCCACTAGAACTCCTCAAATGGAAACATTTTAGCTTCATCTTGTTTAATTTAATGAAAAAAATATTTATTAAGGAGCCTTTGGTTATCCGATTATTAAACGATTAATCGAAGATATAACAGATGAATCGATCTGTAAAATAATCATTAGTTGCAGCCCTAATACAGTTAAAAAAAGAAGTAATGTCATCAGTTATTATAGTAACATGGATCGGGATCATGGATATAATCATATAATTTGATTTTTGAACATTAAAAAGCCACTCTGTTGCCTTGTGGGTCTTTTGTATTTTACTGCGTCAGGATTCTTTTTTTTTAAATCAACTTTGATGGAAACGTTGTTAGCAAACATATCTGAACCTGGCAGCGTTGAAGAGGGCTGAGGTGAGTTTGCTGGCCACAGCCAGAGCCACATGGGACAGGAGAGGCTGAGAGTTTCCCTGCAGAGACAGAGAGAGGCAGCTTTCTGCAGAACAGATCACATTTAAACATATTTACTTTATTTACCCAAAGAAACACTTTATCCTCTCACCTCCACTGCGTAATAAAATCCTGTGTATGGCCCCGATCCTACAGTCACAAACTGGCTCATGGCAGGGGGGCTTCCCTTGACAGATGCATGAAACCCCCCCAGGATGGATGCATTCTTCATTTGGTCAAACACACAAAGGGTCATTACGCCTACAGCCAGAGGACAGAAAAATAAAACTAGGTAAGTTTAACTAGGATCTCATGATTACAGAAGAGGAAGAGAGAAATAAAGCTTGAATTCTCACTTTATAAAGATTGTTAGCAGCAAGTAAATGAAAGCAAACAAGCTTCAAAGACAGAGATGTGATCTAAGCAGAACGATAACTACCCTTCTGAAGTATAATAGTGGATCTAAGTGACTTTTTATGTGATGTGGGGTTTCCAAAGATGTAATAACAGTTAAGTTATAACATTTAACTACTTTAATCGTTCTACTGTAGAAACTGAACTAATTCTCTCATTTTATTCAACTTTTGCTCTTTTCCACAAATGAAATGACATCATCTGGGACCTATCCGCCATGTTTAAAGTCACCTAAATCTGACATGTTTTTAAACTTAGCAATCTGTGATTTAAGTGCACTATTTTGCTCAAAATAGTGCAAAATACTCAAAATGGGAGAGGAAAAATGATGATTATTATTTTTTTTAATACCTTAAAAAAATCTGTAAAGCAAAGTCAATACAACTAAGTATAAATCTAATAACAAGTATTAAAGAAAAAAGGGTTGACTACGCTTTACAGATGTTTTTTTAAGGTATTAAAAATAACTATTAAAATCGTGGAGATATTTGCCTGCTTTTTACTGCTTTTGTGTCCTCCATTTTCATGATAAAAAATATTACATATGTTACACAAATGTTGATTAAAAAAAAAAGAATATCAAGGCAAATATTAGCAATGGATAGAAAGGATGGATTAGCTATGCTTGTGCCTCAGATGTTTTCTAGGAAAGCTGCTGAATGTGATCAGGAATTGTCATGAAATATCAGTTGATACAGATACAAAAAAAAGAAAATATATACATATTTTGGCCAAAAATTTAGGCCGGCTGATTTATCTGTCCATGCTGTCTAAAAGTAGAGCCTTTAAATAACTTCAAGTGAAGTTAGACATTGTCGTCGGACATCATGCGGTAATTTATAAATGTTTTAAATCAGGCTGGGTCCGGATAAGCCAGCAGGTGGGTCCGGATCCGGACCGCGGCCCGCTAACCCGTGACCTCTGATATAGGTCAATGGAAGCTGGTCAGATTTAATGCCAGCAGTAAACGACAAGCTGTAGGAAAACCTGATGGATGAAGCAAAAGACTATAGGAAAGATGATCAGCATCCAGCAGGATAAACAGCAAACATCCAGAGCATCATTGTTTACATCAAAGCGGATCTTTATAATAGAATCGTCCAATCAAACTTCATTTGACTGGACACATTAAGAACATCTGGAAAAGTTTGTATCCACAAATGCTCTTTATCCAATATGAATTTAAGGGATTTTAAAAGAGAAAACAGGCATATTTGTGGTTTCTAGATACACAAAACTGGCAGAGAAACACCTGAAGCCATCTTTTTAATAAAGGTAGTTCTACAAAGTCCAGGGGTGGATACCCACACAGATCAAACTTTAGAGACCTTTTACTGAGAAAAAACAAAATAAACTAAATGATTAACTACAAAAACAGTTAAAATTATTCCCTTTGTTTCAAACTTTGGCATTACTTTGTTTTTTTCCATCACCTAAAAACCTTTTGAAGTTTTGGGCTAAAAAGGGTCAAAATGCAATTAACTGGAAAAAAAATATTTAAACTTTCTTTTGTTTGTTTAGAAGTTAGCTATAAGATTTTAAAGGAACAACCATCCTGAGAAAAAAATGGCAGAGTTTGAGTCACCTCATCCTGTTTATGAGTCACGTCTTACCCGCGCTGCTGTGGTCCACGATGGTGTCCATCTCCTGCAGACCCCACTTCTTGTAGGCCAGAGGAGGAGGGGGGACCACATCGCTGCCGGCTGCTGCAGCTACAGCCAGAAAAAAAAAAAAAAAAAAAAGTGGGCCATTATCGACGTTAACGCCATGCATTAATGCCAGACTCTTATCTATTCTTACAGTTGGGCTGGGAGCTGGGTCTATACTAATGATGACTTTCACCCTGGTAGTTTAGCGGGGATGTATATCAGGGTGCAAGAACAAGTCAGTCTTCCAACCTGTGTGCTGACATGGATGTCATTTCATTCTAGGGCTTTTAACCAAGCTTGCATTATGGCTCATAGAACAGCAAATATTATATTTTCAGCCCAACCTATGTTCCACAGCCTATTCAGAGACCTTAAGGACCCCATAGAATCATTCTATGACCCCTTTCAGGCCTACAAGTGGATAAATTACCCCTCAGCAATTGAACATACCCATACATCTTCCAAATGATGTAACTGCAAATCTAAAATAATATTTTTTTAAAAACACCTCAAGCTCCTTTTTCAAATGCATGGCAGGACAGGACATTACTACTAAAGAGCTTTTCCTAAACAGCCCTGCAGCTACTAGAAGCCACAGTCTTCAGAGCATTTGAAGCTAAAATCAAAGCTGCAGATCTTTATAAGACAGGGATGAAACAAGATAAAAGATTTGGGCTAATATTTCCTTATAGTGCAGATAATGATATGTTGTAACTAACATTGGTTGAATCCAATGCTGCTGTAGCTAATCTCACAGCGCTAATAAGCTGATAAAACTTGCCTACAGAATCTGTGAAACAAATAAAACGAAGCCTTAATAAAAGGAAAAAATTAAAAGAAGCCTTAGTTGTACCTGAATGCCTTGTAGCAAAAACTAGATCCACCCAGCCGGCAAGAGAAAAACACATCTACAGTTAATACTGAGTAACAATTAAGGCTGCACCACGTCAGACACCTCTCTGTTATGCGTAGGCACGCCACACTGCTGCAGCGCACCAGACAGAAAGCAGCTGTACCTCTTGCCACCTGGTTCCTGCAGGCCCGCAGCGACTGAAAGAGGCTGAAGCCGTCGATGGTGACCAGAGCAGCAGGATAAAGGATGCTGAGCTCCTCGTGCTGCAGAGGGAGATAATAAGTTATAGGAATGACATCAAAGCCCTGAAAGAGTTGTGTTGATGAGTGGAGGATAGAAGTCACCTGTTCAGTCACGCCAGGATGACGAGGGATCTCATAGGTGCGACATTTGAGCCTTAGAACAGGGTCCACATGTAGCAGCTGGGCCAGGAGCAGAACCCCACTCTGATATGAGCACATAACAGGAAGAAACACTCTAAATATGGCCGGCTTTTACTAGAGATAGTAATACCTTCATTTAATTATACCTCTGTGTAGAAGCGGACATATCCAGACGTGAATCCAACAACTATGCATGTCCAGTCAGGCCGTCCAGTGGAGCTCCTACAGCCCAGAAGTATGTTTTTATATTTTTTGACCTTTTCTATTTTCTTCTTTACTCACAGGTACGTAATTCTCACCTCTTCTGGCTGGCCAGGGGGATAGCGATCACACTGCTGACACTCTCTCTGGAGAGAAAGACGTTAATCTGTAGATTAATAACAATTCGTACATCAATAACACGTCTACAGTCAGCGTTTTGACCCTTTCTCACCCTTCTTCTGTGCTGAGAGTTCCACTCCAGGACACAGCCAAGGTCATCTCCTCTCTGCCGCTCTGATCTGTCCGCCACTTTGCTGCAACAAATAAAATACTTGGCAATTGATACGGAGCTCCTAATACAGAGATGATCAGAAAAGGGAGTGTGATGGTTTTAATTTCCGACCTGAGAGGAAGACCGCTTTTTGTTCTCGAGCGACAACCAGCAGGTCGGCACAGGGCGACAAGGAAACGACGCAGTCCTGCAGCCAGGGTTGGCTCTGCCCCGGCGGCTCCTCCACTGCCTACAGAGGACAGCCGGCGATTAAAGGTAAAGCAAAATATCAGCAAACCTGAAGATGCTTTGGAACCTTTGAAGTTTCAAACATCTTCTATGTTTCGGCTTTTCGTGGATGTAATGCAGACCTTTGAGAGAGACGTAGACTCCTCCTCCTTATTGTCTCCACTATCCCATCCTGATTCCCAGTCAGAGGTATCCCAGGACAGCTCATTCTCTTCTGAGAGAGAGAAATGTCAGGTTGATCATCACAATCATCTCAATGCTTTGACGTCACGAATAAGAATCAATCAAGAATACCCCTCGATAAGCCAGATTTGGATGAATATTGTGTGAAAACTTTAAGAACTTGAATCAGATTCTTATGGAACAAATTATTGAGGGTGCAGAAAAAAAACAACAATAACCTTTTCCTCATGAATCTATTCAAAGTATAAGGCATTAACAGTAGTGAAATTTTAAACAAGATAGTCAATTGTGGCAAAAAAAACAAAAACAAAAACAAAACATACATCTAATCTGAATGGTTTTAACTTTGGCAAAATGTCCTAACTCTTTATTTTTTTTGTCAAAATCACCCAGTTTGGCTTATAACAGCTTTCCTTAAAAGAACTGTACTCCATATTATTGCCTTATATTAAGTAATAATATTTCCTGTCTTCAGACATTATGTAAATTCTTAACTTTAACAAAAAGAGATCCTAAACATTTTTTCCAACAACTCTTTAGAGACTAGAGATGAACCCAAACATGGTTTGGGACAGAAATACTAACTTCTCACGTGACTTAATATTTTCAGTTTGTAATAAAATTAAGAATTTTTTTTCTTTTAAACGTTCTGACGTTCGTATGATCATCTCCGTGGGAGACCTGGTCTATAACTAAGGCACACAGCATCCTGAAATAATACTAACATTCTATCAGTATGATTTTTATTACCGTCTCCCTCTAAACTACACTGAGATGTGCAACCAACAAGCCACTTTTAGATCATTTAACTTGGAGATGCACTTTATTTTTGTACCACATAAAAAACACAAGAGTTAAGTCGACATTTATGCAAGTTTGCTGCAGTTAGAGTCAAGGTGTGAAACTATACAGTCTGAGGCTTTAAACAAATTTGGAAAGGGGGTTTCATGGTGTTTTGCAGTGTTTATTTTTAAAAGAAAATAAGATGAGGCTGATAAACATTGAATTCTTCTCAGTTTGATCACCTATAAATCAGAAATTTTGACACATTAAACAGCGGTTCCACTTAAAGTATTCTTTCATGACTTAGTGTTATGCAAATATATGTATTTTTTACTTCTCTACTTTATAGCATGGAGCTATACTTGATTAAATCAGATATGCAATTTCAGGCAGATCTTGCTCCTAAAACCCTGAGGGCTTAAAAGTGTTGAGAACATTAAGGGTAGAAAAAAAGGTAAAGCAAGTACCCATGTGGAGGTGACATTATGGTTTGGGATTATTCAAATGATAATGTTTAATAAAGCTGAAGTAAAAAGGCTGGCAGAATAAGTTGTCAATTGTTCTTTGACAGCAGCAATACCAACAACATGATGTATTAGTCTCATGTTAAAAAAGGGCTCCAAGCAGCAAACAACGTATTTTTTTTAACTACAAACATTAAACACAAATCTCTTTGCTTCAG